AACAAGACAATTATTTTCATCATATTTTATATAAAATAGACATTTACATAAATTTTATTTTGGAAAGACCTAGGCAAAGTGTACATAATCAGACTTACATGGGAGATGTATTCCTAACTGGCACAACAAACATAACAAAAATGTATACTTATATACAACTGATCAAAGTAGGAAATAAAAGCATTATGAACAAAGAATATGATGCAAGTCATTTTTTCCCAGAAAAAGGGAGGCATTGGTGTGAATTACAGCAAGTCAACTGATAGCCACATCATAAAAGCAAGCCATGGCTTCTACAGATATTTTAATTTCTGAGGAGGACATTTTTAAACATCTTTTTTCTCCCCTCCAGAAACATAACAAAATCACTAATTTTTATGTGTCCAGGATGTAAAATAAGAGGTTTCTCTGCCATGGAAAAGCATGTGGGCAGTCCAATCACTTTCGGGGTTGTTTTTATATGTGTTCTGTTGTAGTGATTATCTTAAGAATTTCTAAAACAAAGGGCAACACTTATCAATTATGTCTTCAGATGTAGAGGGCTTTCAATCTGGGTCAGGAGACTCATAGAAGCTTAATAGTTTCTTAGAACCAGTTCTTTAATGTGTGAGAAACATGACTGAGAGACTGGTAACCTGCCCAGGGTGAGAGGGCTCCTCAGTGGCAGAGGAAGGACGAGGAACCCAGACCTCTGGATTCCTGACTTGGTGCATCCCCTTACAGACCAGCACGATGACCTCAGGAGGATATTATGCACATTGAGACTTTTAAATGTGATTCCATATTCACCACAGGCACCACTGAGAATGGGAAGAAACTTCTGGGTTTCTGGATATAGACACCTTTCCAGTTTGGGGTAAATGGTGACCTAAACTTGCAAATTAATAATGGTTGTATATGTGATAGGTGCTAATTTTATGAGTTACATATCCTAAGGTTTTAATTGCAAAGACCCTTGGTAATAATAATGGAACATTTTATACAAGACAATGATAGATAGGAATACCATCAACTCTGTTGTGAATTTTCTTCATTGATATTAAGCCATACCTTTGATTGCAGTTATTTTATTTCTTCTCTTGAAGTTACATGATTACTAAAAAATAATGAAAAAATGCTACTTTTGGAAGAAGTGTTTTAACATATTGTTCTTTTACATAAAAAACTTCAAGAATAATTTAAAAAGTTATAATATTAACCTATAGATATTTTTTCTCTTTAAATGCTAAAAGATGGCTAAAAATAGATAAGTTTTGCTATTAAAAGGAAATACCAACATACAGTTTAACCCAAGTAAATGTGATGTGGAAATCAGGGTAAAAATAGAAAACAAACTACCTATAACTATATTTTCTTTGATTATTGTTATTAATACCCTAAAGAGTTATTAATCTAAGGTACAAATCTATCACAAATCAGAGCAAAATTTTTGTGTTTTTTTAAACTGATTCTAATGAGTACAATTAAAAAATAATTAATAAAAGCTGACATGTGTATAATTAACCCAAAGAAAGAGAATTATAGGGTCTAGGCATAAACTCTATATCATGGACACCTTCTTTGAGTCATAAAAAAATATGAGTTTTATATACTCAGCACGTCTGGGTACATGTAAATGGCAAGGCAATTCCTGTCCATCTTAGAATTAAGAACTCTGTAAATATAGGTCAAGTTATAGCTCAATTGCCACAAGTGTAAAACCACCTCACCAACCCACCTGGTTTGTCAATCTTAGAATGGTAACCTCAACCGACCAATTGTGCCACAAATCAATCCTTCTTTAGAATTCTTTGGCTCATTTTAGTCTAGACTTAAAAATTAAAACTGTGAAAGATTATAAATATCTCTTTTGTGAAATATTATAAACATCTCTTTTGTAAAAGTCATAAACTCCCATTGACGTTGTTAGCCTAAGGTCTAACTGCATAATAGAATCAGGAGTTTCTAAAATAAAGTTTCCTCCAAGGAATTTAAATCTTTGGTTTAGTTCAACTTTGTTACATCACTGAACCATGTCTTATGAATGCCATCAACAAACGGAAAACTGAATCATTTTAAAAATCCTGAATAATTTTGCAAAGCCATTCTCATGGCTCCTGTGTCAAACAAAGGACCTGTTAAAGGCCTGCCGCCTGTGGGGATTTTGAAGGCAAAGAGAATGGATTCTGGGTAGGATTGAAGGACAGATTTGACAGACTGGCAGCAGGAGGGGGTAGATGTGTATACAAGGAACTTTAATGTAGCTAAGAAAAATAACAAATGATGCTGAGAGTAACAGTTACAAATGAAACTCTGATCATTGGATCAAGTGTTCAGCCAGACTAAAGCAACTCCTTAGCCACCATTTCCTACCCAGCACCTGCGACATATGTAAGGTCCTAGTACAAAATACAATCGTAGGGACTCCTGCTCAAAATTATTAAGAATTTCAATCAGGCAATTCAACCAAGCATAAGGTGCTCCTGGGTATAGGACCCTGAGGGACTGTGTAGACTGCACATCCACGAAGCAGGCTCTGCAATCCCATCGCAGAGAGGGGCTATCAACTCACACGCCGATCATGCTTCCTGAAGGGCAACCTGGACGCACCTCCATGACTAGCCAGGGCACTTGGCTTTTATTGTGATAAGCATGGATTCCACATGTTATTTCATGTTACAAGGACCAAACAAAAATAGTTAAAAATATACTTAATATCCTTGAAAAAATAATGTGATTTATTTTCTTATAGGCACCATTTCAACTATGAGAATTATTTCATTGGCCATATCTCAGTGAAGGTATTAACTCAGGACAAAATACCTAATGTAACAGTGCTATATTTTAATGTGCACAGAATGAGAAAGGTGGTGGGGGGAGGTAGGGAGAGAGAGAGAAAAATAAAAACAAAAGCAAAAACAAAAACAGACATGGAGTTAGGGAGGGGAAGCACCCAAAAGAAGACAGAAAAAGTCTCCTGAAGGCCATGTGACCCTTCCCAACACCCCCAACAGCCCCCAACCCCCACCGCCCGAAACCTTTAGGCTGTAATTGCTATTTCAGTTAATCCAACAAATGTACTCTCATAGCTTTCACAGCACTTCAACAAGTAAGGCATAATTGTTTTTCAAAAATTGGGGCTCAGTCTTTCCCATTAACTTTGTAGGTGAGAGTTTTGGTTACAGATCATTCTAAAAAGTTGTGATTAAAGCCCTAGATATTAGTTTTAGGCAGAGCTTCATAATATTAATTTTAGGGGCAAGTATAATAATAGTATATTTTTCAAATGTACTGTGAAACCTTTTTGGAACTTTTTTGATATACAACATTAAAAGAGTATTAAAAACAATCAGAATAATAATATAAACATTATTGGATTATTGATGTACACAGATATATGCTAATGCAATTTCTATAATCCTTTGCATTTAAAATATTCCTTGTACCATCACTTTCTAAAAAAGTTTTTCCCCTCCCTTTTATCTAGATTTACCTTGACCTTCCCTCTCCCTATTGACTCCTGCCAAAAAAAACCCAAAAAACAAACAAACAAAAAAACAAAACAAAACAACATAAAAAAAGACTCTGCTCTCTGATACTGGGGTGAAAAGGAGCAGAAGAGTTTGGTGTTGTTTTTTTGTTTGTTTGTTTTATTTATTTATTTTTGTTTTGTTTTGCTTTACCATACCCTGGCCTAAGCATGGGAAATATGTGTGCCTTCAAACTACTGTATCTCCATGGAACCTAGCTCAGCACTGTGAATAGCACTGCCCAGAGGTTTTTTTTTTGTTTTTTTATGATGACCAAATTAAAACCAGGTATTCCAATTTCAAAATATATACCAAAATATCCTACTACCCAAACCCTGAAGAGGCTGAGCCCCATTTCTTTAACTTTAGCAAATGAATAATCAATGCAACTTTTTTGAGGTGCTTTTAAAACTTAACTGCTTTGTAATTTAGATTTATAATGCTTGTATGATTGGTCTTAAAAGCTGTTATTAAAACAACTATGTACAATGAAAAAAAATTGTGTGTGTGTGTATATATATTAAATATTCTATAAGTTATGAAATAAATAACACTAAAAAACAAATGTCAATTGATAAGTTCAACTTTGCCTTCCTTATTTTAAAATATAAATATATATTTTTATATTATGAATTTAGAATTTTTTCCTAGATTTTTTTCATAGAGCATTCTCTATGAATTCTCCAAAATTACAAATACAGAACCAAGAATTCTGGGTTTACATCACTCACATTTTAAGCACAGAATTCTCATTCAGCCTAGGAAGACAAAATAATAAAGCTCTCTTTCCATTTAGTCCATAGTCTATGATGATTTCCGTGATATATACTGTAAAGATTCCTAGGTGGCTAAATATATTTTTTTCAAAAAATAATAAATCTCATGATGTCTAAATGTTAAAATAATAAAGTAGAACATTTCTCTCAGTTAACATCTTTAATAATTCTCATGTAGAATATACTATTTTTTCCTTCACCAAAATAATAATATATGTGGTGGCAGAAACATTTATGATTTTAAAAGTACTTTTGAAATCTTAGAGCAGAACTACTACTCTACTTGCAATAAAGTTTAAATTTCCCATAAAGAATTAGGGGGACCAAGATTCTTGATTTTCCCCAAGGGGTAAGAATATCCATACATAATCCCAGAAGCTTCCTTTTTTTATATGTTAGGCAATAGAAAAAACTTGCGTCAGAGTGGAATTTAACTTACTATTCCGTAGGGCTCTAGCAATACCTTTAGGGGAATAGTAGATCAAGCTCACTTAACAACAGCCCCTTTCTCCACATATTTTGGAAGGTTCTACAAAAAATTATTTGATATTCCTTCCTGGTGCTGGAGAATTAAATGAGCCACCTCTTGGTAGAATGTCCCAAATGGCTTATCTCAGAGGCATTATCCTCTTTGAAATATCCCATTAAAAAGCAAAGATCTGACTTCATAGCATTTCCAATTTCTGTATTCCTGGGGCATCAAAGCTTATCTAGCCTATGAGAGAGAACTAGATCTCTGGGTTGCAAAAGCAGAGAAATATATGGAGGGACATTCGGAGTTAAAGCAAAAACCCCAAAAAACAATCTGTAAAACGTTGTTGTATTCCTTCCCTCTCGGGCCTCCTTGCTCTTGCTTATTCTTTTTTATCTTTTTTTTTCCCCCTCCATGAGATGCAAGTCCCACACACAGGGTTACCAGCGAGGGTCTCCAAATGTGCCCCCTGGCCTGCGAGTGAGAGGAAAGCTCCATTGGCTGTCCTGCTGACGTGACAGCAAGGCCTCCATCACTTTCCTCCTCCAGAGGCACGAGCAACCGTCTGTCCAGGTGCATCCAATGCTGCTATGTTTGATCCTTTTCCCGAACTTCTTGTAATCGCTTTTCTAGGCGATCCAATTTGGCCAGATTCTCCTGCAGCAGTTTGCTGTCTGGAACCAGCAGTAAGGCTCGCTCATAATAAGCTCTTGCAGACACGTAGTTTCCCTGTTGAGAAAGAGAACACTCTTATCCCTCAGACCGTTCTGTAGGAAGATGGGGGAGACTCGGAAACAGCCCTTCCAGCCCAGCTGAACATGAATGTCCTCACTAAGGAAACCTGTGTGCATGGGTAATTGTATCCTTCTCTGCTGGTGCTTTTGGAGAATCCATTTGTTTTAAGTACCAAGCCAGCTGGAGAATGTAAAAGATAGAACCTACACCATAGGGTAAATGGCAAAAACAGATTTTCAATTCTATTAATGCAGGATATGAGCCTGGCATTTCATAGAGTTAGTACTGTTCCTCGTCTGGAATCAAATGGAGCCATGGAGCCATGGCAGGAGAAATTGAGAGAGGAGAGAGGGAGAGAGAGAGAAAGGGAGAAATTGAGAGAGGAGAGAGGGAGAGAGAAAGAGAGAGAGAGAGAGAGAGAGAGAGAGAGAGAGAGAGAGAGAGAGAGAGAGAGAGAGAGAGAAGGGTCCAAAGGGGAAGGGGAGAGATAGAGCGAGAGAAATGCATGTGTGGGGAAACGGTTTTGAAACTTCTAGAATAATAATACAAAAGTAAATAGTTTAGAAATCTATAATGCCTCCTTAGTGGTAGGAGCTATTTTAATCTTCAAATTAAACAAACAAACAGCAACCAATACAGCTCTTGGCTAATACAGCCTTTAATGCAAATGCAAGATTTTATAAAATGAAAAGAACTGGTATGTATACGGAGTCACATTTATCCAATATTCTAGGTGTGTGACAATATGCACCTGCTGGATACTTTTCAAGGAGGAGAGCAGGAATGTCATTCCTGACCTGCTGGAGACACCTGTCTCTGTCCTCTGGTGGCCCCATCTAACTGGCAACCGTGAATACCTGGTTCCAGATGGTCCCTGGTGAGTCAGTCACAAGCATTAACCTTTCCAGCCCCCTTTTTGCTACTAAATGTGCACTAAGAATGCTAGAGATCTTTCCATTCCAAAAATATATATATTTGCTCTATTTAATTCAGCTGAGTGTGTATGAAAACTGGTCTCTCTAAATTTCCATCACAATTTAAAGCAGTATTCTCTTAGTGAGAAAGTATGCTATATGAACGCAATAGCAACTAATATTTATTGGATGTTTATCTATCTTCCAAATCAATTAATATGTGTTAAGAGCTTAGACACGGCCTAACACACAGTGAGCACTCAATCTGATGCTTTCATTATTGTTATTACGCAGTGACTTTCGAGGCTCTGTGTAAACACTGTTTGTTTCCTACGGCATTCACTTGGCAGATCTGTGAAAAGTAGGGTGGAAATGACTGAACAGGAAGTTATACACTGGGAACCCAGGGTCTGGCATACACACAATGAAGATATTTCTGATTATCAACACTGATGTTCATAGGAGGCTAAAAAGAATTCCGAACAAATGAGAACCTGAATTTGCTACATTAAATTACTTTTTTCAACTCAAACATTTATCTTCCAAGTGTCTTCTGCCATTTATTAAGCTTAGCTCACACAGGCAAGCAACTGAACTTGTGGCTCTGCAAGTGACCTCAAAGTATGTTTCCACTAAAGTTGATTTTGAAATTGTCTTTGAAGACGTTTCTCTGAATGTAGGTCTCTGGCATCGCCTTCTCTGATTACCAGCTTTCTTCCTCAGCCCGGCCTGTGTCCTTCCACAGTCAGACATCCCCCGAGGGGTCCTTAGCGCTGCCACCATGCTGCCACTGCCACTAAGCTAGCCAGCCATGAGCCTGCTTTTAGCTGAGTGGTGCTTCCTACCTCTTGGGAGCACATTGACAACCAGGGAGCAGCTCCTGTGTTGAGCATCTGCCCCCTGGTAGTCAGTGCATGTCATAGCGACTGGTTGTTCCCCTGTTCATTTGATTTGCATATTAGCCTTTTATTATATGGGATAAGATTTCAGTTGCTCACTTGCAACAACATTTCAAATCCTGGACATTGTGGCTGGCTAGCAGCTCTGTCTTAGACATAGGACATTCCCATCACTGCAGAAAGTTCCATTGAACAGTGCCATCTAGAAAATGCATTAATGTCAGAAGGCAGGATTGAATATAGGACTTTATTATGATATGGCCCTGCTGATGCAACTCTTTGATTATAAAGAACATATCATATGATAGCTTTTTTGGCCTTGCCATTCATCCTATATAAAACTTCAAAACAATATAATTTTTTTAAATTACCAAATAGTATGAGCAAGATACAACTCCTTTCCTCCCACCTCTCTGCCACCTTTTTGCAAAACCTTATTCCAACTCCCACCCTACTGCAGCCCTTAGTTGTTTCTAAGCATCACCAGGCTCAGGCAAGGAGTGAGGCTGAGATATGGGACCACACAGCCTGACGCACATGCTACCCGGCAATGCAACACACAGAAAGTGAGTGTTGCTGAAGGCCTCGTAAGGATAATCCTGCATTCTGATGATGCCTTTAAAATGACCACATCCAAGGGAAATATGGTCAGCAATATTATGGCATCTTAGCATAGTCACTAAATCCAGTGGTTGTTAGACTTAGTATGGTGACCACATTATAAGGTAAATAAATGTTAAATCACTATATTGTACACTTGAAACTAATATAATATTGGACGCCAACTAAACTTAAAAAAAATTTTTTAAATGACCATATTCAAGTAATATGCCTGGAATATATATATATATATATTTTTGGGGGGGGGGGGTCTAGTAATAATTAACGTCGTTTTTAAACATTCATTTAAAATCTTGCTTGGCGTTGACTTGTATTGACATAACCTTCAAACACGTGGTATCTACAGAACGTGTGAAGTGCAATTAACAAGTTTTGCTTGAAAAAGTTTGTGTTTGGTTTGTTTTTTGTTGCAAAACTAGGGCTAAGAAGATGGCGGATGAAGAGCATATTCGGCACTGCATGCTTTACGAGTTCCAATTAGGAAGAAAAGCAAGTGAGGCTGCAAAAAACATCTGTAGTGCTCTTGGTCAAGATGCAGTTAGCGCCAGAAAATGCCAGCATTGGTTTGAGAAATTTCGCGAGGGAAATTTTTTGTTAGTTGACAAGAGTGGTCGAGACCGTGTGTCCAATTTTGATCAAGAAGCTCTTCAAGCTCTTTTGGTGCAAAATCCTCAAATTACCCAACAAGAGCTTGCGACAACTTTAAATTGTTCACAAAAAAACAATTTCCAATCAATTGCGTGCATTTGGCAAAGTCCAAAAGTTTGGAAAATGGGTTCCTCATGAGTTGACCGACAACAACCGTAATCAAAGAGTCACAATTTGCAGTTCGCTCCTCTCTCGTCAAAACCGTTTGCCGTTTTTAGAGCAAATTTTACCGGAGATGAAAAATGGGTGCTGTATGTTAATTTGAAAAGGCGGCCTCAATGGTTGGACAAAAATGAGGCTCCGCAGCCCACGCCAAAACCTGACTTGCATGCGAAAAAAGTGATGTTGTGTGTTTGGTGGAATTTTAAAGGAATTCTTCATTATGAACTTTTACCATCTAACCAAACCATTCCATGTGCAGTGTATAGTGCCCAATTGGAAAGGTTAGCCCAAGCTTTAAGAGAAAAAGAACCCGCGCTGATTAATCGGAAGGGCGTAATTCTTCACCACGATAACGCACGACCGCATACTGCAAGAATCACTGCTGAAAAACTGCGCCAGTTGGAATGGGAAGTTCTCCCTCAACCTGCATATTCTCCTGATATTGCCCCTTCCGATTACCATTTGTTTCGTTCTTTGCAAAACTTTCTTCTTGGAAAAAAATTTAATAATGAAGAATGCCTCAAAAATGCATTGACCGAATTTTTTGCATCAAAATCACAAGAATTTTACAACAGAGGGATTAAAATGCTTCCTGAGCGTTGGGCACAAGTAGTAGAAAACAACGGCAACTATATTGTTGATTAAATTTTGTTGTATTGTTTAAATAAATTTGATTTAAAAAAGTATTAGAAAGCGACATTATTACTAGACCTAATATATGACTCACTGATATTAGACCATTTTTAAACCATAAACATAGCAACATTATATCAGTCAACCAATACATGATGCTATCAAAAATGAAAAACAGGATATATTAACTTTTTATCAGTGCATTTACTGTATTTAAATAACACACTCAATATATCCTTCTTTAACTCCCAGACACCTTTTCAAGGGGCAGTACTTTGAAATTTAAAGTAACGGATTCACTTGTTAATCTAAGAAGGTATAATAAATGTACTATTGTCTTTGTATTTATAGACTTCTTAGACACTCTTCAGTATATAGTTTTACTTTTTCTATTTAATAATTAAACCCATTATTTTAAATGCAGATGCACTGCATCTAAAAATATAGTGAGCACATTACTTGAAAATTCATATGATTTAAATATTATTATGTTATTATTTTAAAAGTAAACTCATTCTATGCTTCCCAACTAGATATTGCTAGACAATCTAGAACATTACTAAGATCAAAGCTGTGGATACTTGGCTCTGATAAGTGTCATGCTTGGATTCACCATTAATGTCCTTCTATTAGATTAGTCACAGAGTCACTGATAGAAGTCTGAAAGTAAGTTAGCTGAACAAGAGCAATTCTTAAAATCATGCCAGCCATGGTATTTCTCTGCTCAAAGTCCCCCAAGGAGCCTAACTCATTTGGCATAAAATCTATAGACCCTAAAATACCCTTCAAGACTCTGCATGATTAGACCCTCCGACCCCTCTGACCCCTCCGATCCCTCTGATCCTAGGTCCTACCATTTTCTCTCATTTTCCTCCTCAAATACAGCAAGCACACTTGTACCTCAGGACCTTTGCACATGATCACTCTTTATTTTTGCTACATGGTTTCTTCTCTTCTGATCTCTGCTCAAACATTACTTTTTTTAATTGAGGCCTTCCCTAACCACTATAATTCAAAATTTGAGCCCTTAACTCCTGACATTCCTATCTTCTTTCTCTCTTTTTTTTTCTCCATAGAACTTATTACCAACTGATATATGTTATGTGTGTAAAATGTCTGTATGTGTTTATTTACTTATCCCCTTTCAGAATGTTCACTCTAAGAGGACAGGATGTTTTGTTTTATTTGTTCATTGTTGTATTCCTAATGCCTGGAAGAGTACTTGGCACACTGGATACTCTATAAATGCCTCTCAAATAAATGGGTCAATGAATGAATCTCTGATTTTATTAGTTACAGATATAATTTCCCAAAGGGTCATTTTCAATAATTCACAAAACAAAACAACCACAAACAAGCAACCTGGTTTTTCAGTAAAAGGTTAGAGAATAAAAGATACATTAGGTATAAGAAACAGTAACGTAATATTTAAAGTAACACTTGCTCTAGACAGCGAGTTAAACTGCAGAAAAATAAACTACACTAAACTCCAACAAGGTTGTTAGCTCACATATGCAGATTTTACCTGTATCATCATGATACCTCTCAAGTGCATATGATTTTCTTTGTGATAAACAAAACCATGGAATCTAATTTATATCGATTTACTCCTTAAATGGCTTTCTGATATTGACTATCTAGAATACAAAGTGAGAATAAACTTTCAATTCAAGGAGTAAAATTAGTAATAATTTCTCAATCTTTCATGAGAGAAGAAAGACAGAAAGAGAAAACATCTTGGAAAAGCTGGTTCACGGGAAGTGGATTCTTCTCCTACCTTGATGTGCTGGATTCCACCCATATTCATCCAGGCTTGCGCTTGATCTGGATTTAGTTCCACAGCAGCTTTATAGCTCTAAAGATATAAGAAATACCTTCAGGTTGGGAATCGAAAAGAATCTGCCTTTACCACGACATAATTGTGAAAACCACTTTCTGTGTATGTGAACATCTAAAATGTTAAAATATGTACACAGATAATAATTTAATAAAAAAATAAATAATAATAAAAAAATAAAGCTAGAATAAAAAAAAAGAGAATATTAAAAAAAAATGGTTAAGAAAACCAACAGCCACTTCTGGCTCACAGGGGTTCCATTTATTTCCATTAATTTTTAACACAGATGAGTCTAAAGTAGAGGAAACGGAAATGTGTAATTTCCTTGCAGAGCTAATGTTTAGACTTGAGACTGAGTCACCTGCAGGGAATCCAGGAGATTTCTATTATAGAGAATCACTTTCCATTGGCCTTGACCTGCAAGAAATTGGTGCTTTTGGGCCTTTTTCACTGCAAATGGAGCTTGTAAGGATTTTTTTTTTTAAATAATCATAGGATCTTAGCTTAACCCTACAATATCACTGACCTGGTTATTTGGTCTATGCTTGAAATCTTGCAGGATGCTCATTACTCTTAAGTATTTCTATTTCACTAGGGGATAGATTTAATCATTCAAAAGCGTTTCTCTTCTTTTTCTTCCATATGAAAGTTCTTCAATCTTTGAAGAGAATTACTTAATCCTTGAATACTTTTTTGTGCCTAAATAATCTGCAACCTATTAATTTATACTTGTGAAGTATCTTTTTAATATTTTGTTTGTTGTTTTGCATCAAAGGTATGCTCACTGGAGACTTGCTTTTAAAGAGTAATCATCTTAAATATAATTAAATTCTATGAGTGCTGCCTTCACAAAGTGTTTAATTACAAAGCTAGGTATCTATATGTGTGTATAGTTTAATACTCCTTGCTATTTTCATTAGGGAGAAGGCAACTGAACCAGATCCATAAAGTAATGAGAATCTGTTAAGAAACTATATGCTCTTTAAAAATCTGCTTAAAAGACCTGTATTTATTTTATTTTATTTTTGTCATCATACTGTGTTTAGAACACAGAAAGAATCAGACTCTTTGCACAAGAAGAAGTGCAGCCTAACTGGGGAGCCAAAATGCATGCACACAGCGCACACCGGGGCCAGGGAGAGGAGCAAGAAAGGACTGAATGCGACAACTTAATAATAGATGTCCTGCTCAAATGACTGGTGGAGACATAAGTGTTTTCAGCATTCAGTGGCATCACAGTCACTAGGCGAAAGAATGGCCCAGGGAGCTTTCCGAGGGAGGAGGACCCAGGCTGTGCTGGTGGATGAGTGGGAATCAGCTGGGGAAGGGGGTGGAGGTTGTACAAGGACTTGTGGTTGGGTCCAAAGCTATTCAGGCACCAGTCCAGCTGGAAGAGATGGTATTGAATACAAACAGAGAGAGAAAAGGCAAGAGAGACAGAGAGAGAGAAAGAGAGAGAGAGAGAGAGAGAGAGAGAGAGAGAGAGAGAGAGAGAGAGAGAGAAAAGCTGATATGAGGACAAAACACAGAAGCTCCCAACAACAAGTTAATGCTAATTCAGGAAATAATGCAGAGGTATCACAGGATTCTGAGTAGTTAGAAACTCAATTATAAAAAATGAACCTTTAATGTCCAGTTGATTAATCAGAAACTTCGCAACATGCCAATGATCTTAGATTCAGGGAGTATTAGTTTCAATTCATGAATTCAATAACATAATTTGACTAAGTGTTTGTACCTCAAAAGCTTTGTCCAGAAGATTCTGCTCTCTTAGTTGGTTTCCTTTTGTGAAAAAAAGTTCGGAAATGACCTTCGGGTCCTTTGGTTTCAGCTGGAGAGCCTTGTCAATAGCGCCAAGTGCCTGCATGGGTTGGAAATTAAGACAGAATAAATGTAGATTAGATACAGGGAAATGAATTTAAATGATAAAATTTATACTTTATTTTCTTTTTTCAACTTTTTTCCAGATCCTCTTTTTATGTTTTGTTAAAATTTTTTTTATTGATTTCAGAGAAGAAGGGAGAGGGAGGGAGAGAGAAAGAGAAAGATCAATGATGGGAATCATAGATCAGCTGCCTCCTGCACTCCCCCACGGGGGATGGAGCCCACAACCTGAACATGTGCCCCTGACCAGAATCGAATCCTGAACCCTCCAGTGCACAGGCTGACACTCTATCCACCGAGCCAAACAAGCTAGGGCTACTTTTTGTTTTTATGAACTAGCTGGGGTGGTGAGTGGCGATCAATTCCTCATTCTCTCTAATGTTCTCATTGAGAAACAGTTTAGCTCTGATGAAGTGACTTCCTTATGCTCCAGGTTTCCATTTATATTAGTGACAATGACATGTCCCTGAATCACTTTACAGGGAGGTTGTGTGATCTAGCTGAAAGAAAACAAAATATTTCCCTGACTGTGTGCCTATCTGAACCCTCCCACAGCCTCTGCTTTGGTGCCTGGTGCTCACTCTGCCCTTACCATGCTCTACTCCAGCCAAAAGTCTCTTCAAAGCACACACTTGATGGTATTGCTCTTCTGCTTAAAACCCCAAGGCTTCTCCCAGGATAAGGAACAAGACTTTTGTCCTGATTCCAAGCCTTGAGGTCTAGTCCCTCAAGGACTAGACCTCCAAGCCAACATACTTTGAGGACTAGACTTGAGGACTAGACCTCCAAGCCAACATACTTTGCAGCCACCTGTTACACTGCACCCTGCTCCCTCATTCCCATCCCTCAGTCAGGCTAATGGCTGTTGCCACAGGGCTTTTGCAAGTGCTTTTTTGCCTAGAATGCTCTTCACTGCCCACCTTTTGTCTAATAATTCTTATTCATTACTGGGCCCTCAACTTCACATCACTCTGCAGGGAAACTGACCTCCAATACCACTCAGGTCCCCCGATTATATCTTTATTAGGGACCATGTCATTCTTCATGACATTGCTGAGCGCAGCCATAATTCTACTACATTGATTTTGTGATTACTTGTTCAATCTCTGTCTCCTGTGAACTCATGTCTACTGTAAATTCCATGAGGACACGGGTGATTTTTTTTTTTTTCCTTTTTGGTCATACCACTTTATTCCTGGTGCCTAAGTAAGTATCAATCAGTATTTTGTTAAATTAGTTCATGAATTTACAGGCTATATAAAATGGAGAGAAACAATAACAGGGTTAATGACCTGCCTTACAGGTTTGTTGTAAGGATTGTATAAAAAATATTTAAAGAACATGGAAAACGATAAAGTATACAAATGTTAGTCTTTACCTTTCCTAGTATTAGCTGAAAACAAATGGAGATAATACCACATAAAAATCTTCAGACCAAAAATGAGCCAAGCACATATGTCAAGGGGTTGATATCTTAAGAGTTAAAGGGATATCTGTGAAAAGCACCCATAAGATCGGATATGCCAACTGATGATATTCAAGACAGCTAAGCCTTGTTACTCTGCAGCCTGGAGCCCATTTAGGGGGTCCCCACCTTCTACCCATGAATCCAAGAAACTGCAGTGTCCTCTCTACCTTGTCGTGCTGCTCCTGCTTGCTGTAGATTGCTGACAGCAGGCGATAGCATTCGAGGCATCCGGTGTCCTCTGACACAATGTGATTGGTCATCTTTTCAGCTTCTTTCGTCTGACCCATCATGGCCAAAACCTGAGCCTGCAAAACCACACTGACCTTGGCTTAGAGACATTTCATCATTACCGTTTCAAATAAAGCATCCTGGAATGGAGGCATTGGGAAACACCCTAGACAAAAGTGCTGAGCATCTGTTTGTGGCACACAGATAGGTGCAACACGCTATAGCATCGAGGCTTTAACTTTTGTTGCTTGTTTATTCATGTATGTGCATGCATTTCCATGTGAATGGCGGGAACGTTAAAAATATCCAATGAAATGACTTGTGCCTTTTTAAAAAGTTGACTAAATATTATATGTCAAAAGAGAAATGATTTCCTGTGTTTGTGACAAGGTAAGTTTCATGTGCTGAAAATCGAAGGAAAAGAAGTATGGATGCAAAATTGAAATAAAAAAAAATGTTGTTGTTAATTTCATTGACTTTGAAAAAAAAATACTGTAGTTATGTTTGAGTGTCCTTATTCTTAGGAATTATATGCTGACTATTTAGAAATCAAAGGAATGAGACCTATGTGGCTCAGGAAGAAATGACATTTATTAATAATATATATACACGCATGTAATACTTGCCTAAATATGCACATGTATACAAATATGTCATACACACATACATATATACACGAGAAGGTGGTAACAAATGCATAAAAATGCTGAAAACAGATCAATCTGGGTGAAAAAGGATATGGGAGTTACTTATATTCTTGCAAATTTTTTCAAGTTTAAAATTATTTCCAAACAAAAATTTAAAAGTATTCTTAGTATCCATGTCTTATGTAAATGGCTGTAACAGCGGTTAAATGAATATTCATAGCATGGATATAGTATAGCAATTCCGGTTCTCATTCTGAGGCCTACTGACTGCAGCTCCCTCAACTGCAGGCTCTGAGTCTTTTCCCAGCCTCATCTGCTTATCCCACGCACTCACCAGGGCCAGACGGAGCTCCCGGTGAGAAGGCTGAAGGGCTGCAGCTTCCCGGTAAATCTGCAAGGCCTCCTCATATCGGCCGGTGTTGTAGAACAATGCTCCCAGAGGCGACAGTGTCTCTGCTTTGCGTGCCACCTTCAGGGCGCTGAGTTTTAAGAAAGGTGAATTAACGCTTTTCTTCTCATGGGCACATTTCCAAAGGTCAAAACTTAGGGATGGCTGTCCAGGTTTGAGATTTTGTGCCAATATGATCTCTGTTTTTATATCAAGAAGAATGTTTAAAGAACATCGCAGTACCATTCTCTGACTATATGAACAGCTCTAGTGGCCTAACAGGGTGGAGCTGAGCCTCGAGGGTCTATTCCATCAATGGTGATAGACTTGTGATGTGTGCATAATATTTCATTTATATCCACTTTTGAAACTGCTATTGGTGTGTTGGGTTGCAGCCCATCACTTCAGAAAACAGTGGTAATTAAATTCCAACCTTGGTTTAGCACCATGTTCCTAACCAGCAGGCAAGAAAGCCATTAACTGGGATACCACCGACAGTGTTGCACTGTTCTCTTTGGCAATAAGAATCTGTATTGCCTGCACTGGCAACATTTGTTAGCATTCTGATAATATACCTGTCCCGACGAATTAAAAATTGGATGCTGTAGTCAATAATATCATGACTACAGCCCAGGGACAGGTGGTTACTAGCTTTATCGTGGTGGTCACATTGTAAGGTATATAAATGTAGAATCACCTAAAACTAATATGTCAACTGTACTTAAAAAAATTTAAAAACATTTTTTTAAGTTGATGGGCAATTACAGAAGTCTTAGGGTGACTTATAAAGTGGAAGGGAAGATGTTTACCGTTTGTACCACTCTTCAGCCATGCTGTTGTCTCCCAGAGACCGGTAGAGCCTCCCCAGGTTCACCATGGCCACGTCATGACTCGGGCTAAGTTTGATGGCCTGTAGGTAATGGGCCACTGCCTTCTCGGGAGAGCCTGTAACCAGAGGTGCAGAGTAAGAGCAGAACATGCCTTAATTATAAAACACAAAGGGGTTTACTTTCTCTTCTGATGTAGATCATTCTTCTTACAGAGCCATGCCGACCATTATTCAGCGTGTAAATTACTGCACATTCGGGATTCTTCTCCTTGCAACTGCCTAACTTTGAGCCATTTATTCATTCCCATTTCCAATGAAATTAACAATAAAAAAAAACAACAACAGAAAGTGTTAGGCAAATTCTTGTACCCCATTATGCTCTGTTTGGGACTCGCGCGCGCCCCTTCCTCCCCCCCCCCCCCCCCCCCCCAGTGATTTTCCTGTAATTCTCATAGGTTTCATGATTAACAGCCTTTGGTTTCCAACAAACAACCTAACCCAGTTTCCAGGGACCGCCTCCACCAGGCCTCCCCACCTGCACCTGGTCCCACCGGTTACTCTGATTGATCCCTTATAAGAGACATAAATATCTCATTCCCCCTATGCTGCCCCGCTGATGCCATTTTGGCCTCAGCCCTCTGCTAGCAAATATAACAATAAATCTATAATTCATAATTCGTTACCTCTTTTGGCCTCATGCATTCTTTCTTTGGTGACCCTAACAAAAACTAAAACCTATCTCTTTAAATATATGTTATATATTATTAATTGTAGTCAAAGTGTTTTCTGGCCATTACCTTAGCTAATATGATGTGTTGAGATTATCAGTGGTTGTTATTTATAAAGACATGTTGCTACTCATTATGCCAAAACATGGAATTGGCTATTATAGAAAGAAAACTGTCCTGAAGCAATTTCTAAGGGTCTGTCTCAATTACTATACTATAGCATTACCCCTGAAACACTGCTTTAAATAAGCATTTATTATTTTTGCTTTAAATAAGCAAAAAAATTTATATGCATATATGCATAACCCATGAACACAGACAATAGTGTAGTAGGCCGGGGGAAGGGGTAGGAGTGGGTTGGAGGGGGGCAATTGGAGGAAAAAGGGGGCATCTGTGATACTTTCAACAATAAAGAGAAATTAAAAGTAAATAAACAAATTAGCATGTATTAGCTGTACCTAATAAATATTTTTTAATCACATATTTTTGAAAGATATTTATTTTAAAAAATAATGCCACCTGACATCTGTCCAATACATGGTACATTTTTAAGAAAATATATTTTATTAATTTTCCACAGAGAGGAAGGGAGAGATATAGAGAGCTAGAAACATTGATGGGAGAGAAACATCGATTGGCTGCCTCCTGCACACCCCCTGCTGAGGATGTGCCAGCAACCAAGGTACATGCCCCTGGCTGGAATCGAACCCAGGACCTTTCAGTCTGCAGGCCGATGCTCTATCCACTGAGCCAAACCGGTTTCAGCTATTACTATTATTAATTATTATTATTATTATTATTATTATTATTATTATGTTGCTTATGAGCCAGTAGGTGGCACTACAAAACCATTTTACATGAAAAAATATGGCAAGTTTCTTAGTGTATCACAATGTAAATTTATGTTCTCTAAAACCGAAAAATGTCCAACATCCTTCAAAATAAAACCCTTCTGAATATTTCATACTGACAAAATAATTAAAATTAAATTTTACTGCAGGGCATGTGGCAGGCAGTATAACAGTCAATGGGAACCAAGTAGTGCTTTTGCATTAAATTCAAATGTCTTTTTATCTTTATTGTGTTCATAACATGCCAACAGTCATAAAGAAAACAGAATCCCAGCTCCATGAAGTTTCGCATTAAATAGGATGGAGTAAGTGTACTTTACATAGCACTGTCATATAAGAATACTTTATCAATTACAGTAATACAGTTTCTATAATGTATACCACACCAGAAACAATAAAACAACTCTGGGGTTTTTAAAAAAAAATCAGTTGCAGAAAAGTATTTACCATCTGCCAGTAACTAGATCAGAGCAGGTTATACATCATTGTAGAGGAACATTTCATTATCACAGATTTATAAACTTGTATAAATGGTACTCAAAGAAGAGCTATTAAATCATCAAGACTACTTCCTATCTCCTGGGGAGTTTTCCCTAGTGATATGATTATGAGGACTGGGCAGTTTCATTCAACGGAGCCTGAAGATTTAGGTAAATGACAGCTCCATGGCTCACTGTGACTGTCAGTGGAGTGAGCATCCTGCCAAGCCCAGTGAATTTTACTTCGGAGGCATTATTTGGGTGGTTGCCATTTTGCTCTAGAGAATTATCTAATCTCAACAGAACAGATTCTCTCTAATTTCACTTACCAGTATCAACTAAGAAAACTCCATAGTTGTTGTGTAAGTCTGAGCTCTCTGGACAGTTCTTTATTCCAGCCTGGTACATTTCTTCAGCTTCCTTAAATCTCTCCTTTGCAAGAGAATAAAGAAAGATAAATGACAAAGTTGAAAGAATTAACAACAAACTGAAGAGTAGAAGTGAGAAAAGCAGGAAATAACTTACTGAGCACCTACGATGCAATAGGCACTGAGATCAACACAAAGTACTCTTCCTAATTAAAGTCAATAACTGCATACACACCTACAATCCATACCTGTGCTTAGTTCCTTTATGGCAAACAGCTGATGTTTACTGAGAAGTGATATATGGAAGGACTAGATAGCGGGAAATAGCCTCAAAATGGTTTTTTGAATGGGATGCTCTCCACCCAGTAAATCTCTGGATGAAAATGAGTGACTCAACAACATGAGACTACTTCCTAGGTAGCAATCTGACTGGGAGACAGGAGGCCTGGGATAGTTGTCTTCCAACGGCATAGTATATTAGTAGTTAGTACTCTTTTTAACTACACTGTATGGTTTATTTGGAGAGGTTTGGAGTGGGGTGGGAGAAGTGGGAGGAAAGGTGAATGCATATTATGGGAGTCTTTGTCATATCCCTCCTTTATTGAAATATTTCTTTTATTTTTAGAATAAACTCATATAATCACTACACCTAATTTTTAAAAAATATTTTTACTAATTTCAGAGAGGAAGGGAGAGGGAGAGAAAGATATAAACATTAATGATGAGAGGCATGCCCTCTACTGGGGGTTAAGCCTGCAACCATGGGCATGTGCCCTTGACTGGAATTGAGCCTGGGACCCTTTGGTCTGAAGGCTGACACTCCATCCATTGAGCTAAACCAAATATTTCTTATAGCCCACAAACCATTTGCCACTTTCCTTTATCCAACCTGTGCTTTCCATCTCTAAATTATTCCCTCCCAACAGGAATATATGTCCCCTCAAAGGCATGCCTGCAACTCCTACCTCTGTGGAAAGGTCTAAGTCAACCACCACATCTCCAATGGATCATTTTCTAATTGCACTGATCTCTCTGAACATTCACGTTAACATACTTGAATAACTCTGAATTAGCTTTTAAGCACTCCCCCCCCCCAACCACCTTAGATTGTCATGTTACATACAGCTCACAACATATATAGAAGGTAACAGATAATTAATGAATTGATGTTGCCCAGGTTCTAACAATTTCTCACAAGTAAACAAGTTCATAGTTCCCTAGTACTGCTGTAAGGTCAGGTGAAAAGAAATGATTTGGTATCAAGCACATCACAACTTTTCCTTTAATATGCTCAGAGCATGAACATTTTCTGTAATTTTATCACAAATTACTACTATCAAACATTCAACCAAATGACAAGGGAAGGTACAGCATCCGTTTTCTCAGACATGACACCTTAAGCTTGTGAATAAAAATGTATTGAGAGAGCTCAGCAATAAGCCAAGAAGCCTAACTGATTTGACCAAGAAATGTAAAGACAGTTTACCTTCTATAGAATGACCAAGGCCATTTCTTCGAATTCTTACATTGAAGTACCATTTTGGGAACAAAGTGTGGTTTGAATCTGGCAAATTTCACTTATCTAATCATAGAATCACTAGAGTCCCGGTGCATGAAATCTGTGCATGGGGGGGTGGAGGTAGGGTCTGTCAGCCCAGCCTGCACCCTCTCACAATCCGGGACCCCTTGAAGGATGTCCAATCCCAGGATATGGGGCCAAAACTGGCAGTCAGACATCCCTCTTGCAATCTGGGACTGCTGGCTCCTAACCGCATGCCTGCCTGCCTGATCTCCCCTAATCACTCACCTGCCTGCCTGCCTGATCACCCCTAACTACTTGCTGCCTGCTGAATCACCCTAACCACTCACCTGCCTGTCTGATTTCCCCTAACCACTCACCTGCTTGCCTGATCGCCCCTAACTCCTTTGCCTGCTGATTCCCCCCAACCACTTGCTTGCCTTCCTGATTGCCCCTAACCACTCACCTGCCTGCCTGATTGCCCCTAACCCTTCTGCCTGCCTGCCTGACTTCCCTTACCTACTCTCCTGCCTGCCTGATCACCCTTAACCATCTCTGCCTCAGCTTCCACCACGGAGGCTTTGTCTGGAAGGATATCTGGAATGATGTCTGTAATGACATCCAAAAGGTCGTTTGGCTGTCTGGTCTAATTAGCATATTATGCTTTTATTATTATAGGTAATCAAGCAAATATGAATATCCATATTTTTTTAAAAAAATTTCTAATTGTCAAACTCATTAAGTTACCAAACTCGATAAAGTTAAAGATGAATGAAAATTTCAAAATATGTACTGAGAGAAGAAAAACTTTAGAAAGATATCATCTACTAGAGGACTAGCAAATCTATGAGTGGTCATATGTATGTGTTAAATAGAGACAGGCAGAACACAAATTATATAAAACTCCAATCAAATTAAGACAGTGTACCATTTAATATTTACTGATTTATCCATTCCTTCAGCACACGTTTATTGCAATGGCTATAGAAAGTATGACACAGTGATTAAAAATTGGACTGCAAGTGTTTGGGGCTACGGATTGAAATCTCAACCTCACCACTCATTGTCTGTGTGATCTTACTTCTCCTCTATGTACGCAATTGTAAAATAGGGATAATGAGTACCTTTCATAGGTTTGTTGTGTGGATTAAGTGGATTAGAACATGAGAAGCTCTTAGAACAATGCTTAGTACACAGTCAGCACTTGGTCATGTTAACCATTTTCCTTACTACTTCTACTATCAGAAGTACAATTAGTGTCAATATTACTACTTATCACACTGAGAGATAAGATACCAAGGACAGGAAGATAAATAAAACAAAATATCTCTATTTAAGGAGCTCAAACACTAATGAACTGACAAATAGACCCAATGTGAGCAGTGTATTAAAGAAGTAAGTACAGATGCTCTGAGCTCAGGTGGCCTAGCATTAGGCATCAGGATCCTGTCGAAGGGGCATTTCAGCCAACAGTCTGGAGTTCCTCTCCCATCAAACCCCTTTAAGTAACTCTATATAAGAAATAATCAAGTAACTTAAATGTGTTTTTTTATTTTATTTTTTTCTTTTTTTTAAAATATATTTTATTGATTTTTTTACAGAGGAAGGGAGAGAGATAGAGAGCTAGAAACATCGATGAGAGAGAAACATTGACCAGCTGCCTCTTGCACACCCCTCACCGGGGATGTGCCTGCAACCAATGTACATGCCCCTGACCGGAATCGAACCTGGGACCTTTCAGTCCACAGACCGACGCTCTACCACTGAGCCAAGCCGGTTTTGGCTATTTTTTTTCTTAATCACTTTCTAATACTAAGATCAATAAATAGTATCTTGAAAATTTTGAGTTTTCAGTGTTACCACCTGACAAGAGTTAATCTTTGGCGCTAATGCCAGATCTTTAGTTTTATAGAATTTTTAAATATTTTATAAGGCACTTTTACATACACTAACATAGTCATGGTAAAAAACAAACAAACCGACAACAACAGTTATTAAAAATACAATAGATGAGAAATAAAAGAATATCAGAGCTGGAAAGAACATTAATAGATACTAATGAATTACCATTTTTAACAAATAGAGAAACTTGGGTACAAAATGTTTGCCCAAGACCTCATAGCTACAAAGGGACAGAGAAAAACCTAGGTTTTCATTGAACATTCAGGGAATTGGTAACCCCTGAATAAAATAAGTTTCTGGAAATTAACAAGAGTGTCTGGCATTAAAAGAAACAATTACACTTTTGGATATCCATCCATCCATTCCCTCAATAAATAATTCATGAGCACCACCCATGACCCAACTGTACAGTTGAGACAGATGAGTGAATGAGACAGACACAATCCTGCCCTTACAGACAATTAAGGGGGATTCAACCAAGAAGGAAACCTTGCAGTGTATGGTGACAGTGTCATAGGAGGGGAAGCAAAGGGTGCTTGGGAGGCAATATGAAGTGACACCCAGATTTGGGGTTGGATAAGTACTGCACACCCATCATGATCCAAATACCCAAAGATGCTGGTGACCATGAACTATAGCAGCTGCGTAACTTAAAAGATGTGCTTGAAAAAAATCTACAGCTGCTCAAGACCTTAAAAACATCCTTATAACTAAATTGTGGGAGAGTTGAAAGTCATTTTTCCTGAAAGAAACAAAGTTGATGTCTTCACATTTCAACTTGCTGAAGTCAAATATAACAGTTAACAATAGTTTTCTAGATTTTACCTGATTTAATTTTACTTTTCCCCTCATTTTCTTGCTGCTCCAAAATAGCCAAAGAGATCACCTTTTTCATCTCCAACTTCTCTTATGTTTGGCTTTATATGCTGGGTTTCCATTAGAAATTCAATTTTCAAAGACCAAAGAAGTAATAGGATTTAAAAGACTGGGCGTGTTAGAAGCCAGTAATCACACCTCTGTACTCTTGGTAACCCCCAAGGGCCGTCCCAGGATTCTGGCTCTGTGAAAAATGTCTTCAATATCTGTCTTTCTTTTCCTTTCACTTGACTATACATTTCAAGGAATGATTAACTCCATTTATTGAAAAATGAAAGAAGAAAAATACCTCAGAAGAAAAATACCTCCTAGGTATTTATTTAAAATAAATTCAACCTTCTCTGGAAAGACAATGCATTTATCTTAAAAAGTAGTGGTGTTCGATCCCTGAAGCTCCATTTCATGCACCCGCTTTTATTTGCCTCTTCTGGCTAGATATCCTGACCTAAGCCTGACCATTTGTAGTATCTACTGATTTGTAAGATCTAGGAGAGATGAACATAGCTATTTCTAGAACAACTTTAATTAAAAATGCTTGGGACCCAGAGAATGGGTCTGACAAAAAATACTGTCTGCTGTACGTCCGAGTCCCCAGCCAACGGCTGTGCTGCCTCAGCATGAAGTCAGCCTTCTAGGGCAGTGGCTTAACATGGGCTCCTCTCCCAGGCTCTGAAGCTTTTCCACGGAGTGGAAATTAAATGGGCCTTGGGGAAGAAATAAAATGTACTCCACGTCTCCACTTTTCACATGCGGGAATTACCCAACAT